GGTGTCCTGCTGCATTCCAGCCTCCCACAGCGGCAGCTCTGGGACAGCAGGAGCTGGGGAGGGATGTTCAGCTCCGCCAGCTCAGCTGGAATGAGCAGCAATCACTGGGCTGACGCAGGTTCCTTCCCTCTTTTCCTGGGCTTTGAGGCATTTATATAATTCTGCATAGCGCTGAGAAATTGGGCCATGCTGTGTTCCTGCCTCAAGCTGAGCACTCGGGCAGGGACTGTTCCCACAGCCTCGGTCAATGGGCAGGAAATAATGTCCTGGCAGAGTGCAGAGCCCATCCCTGTCCCTGCTCTGCCATCCCTGTGCTGGCACTGCCCAGGGAATGGGCACGGCCCCGAGGCTGCCAGGGCTCCAGGAGCCTTTGGACACTGCTCCAAGGGACAGGGTGGGGTTGTTGGGGGTCTGGGTGATCCCTGTGGGTCCTTCTCAGCTCAGGGAATTCTGTGAAAAATCCCAGGCTGTGATCTGGGATTGCACCTGGGCACTGACAGCCCACGGGACCAGGGCTTTGGGGCAGCATTTTGTGAAAGGCAGGATGGGGGAAAACTAAAGGGACTACAGATAGACAGAGAAGAACTTTCTCTTGCTTGGCACAGTTTTTGCAGTACTTGTAAGCAGATAAACTTGTCTTTGTGAATTATTTTTGGTATTTTTCCTAAAAAGAAAATTGGGAAGTTTGGATTGTCCCCTGGAGTCCCTCAGAGGTGGGTTTTGCCGTGTTCAGCCTCCTGTTGGCAGTGACAGCTGAGCCAGTGGGGTTGGCTTCTGCTCCTGGGAGCTTAATAAAATATGGGACTTTGTTATAAATTGGCTGTTAAAGTGCAGCCCTGTTAGTGATCAGATCCCAGAGCTGTGGAGAAGAGGTTCTGCCTTCAGGAGGGCACAGCCTGCACAGGATGCTGAGGGCAGAGCAGAGTTTGTCACCTGCAGAGAGAGGTGGTACCAGCAGGAGGCCAGAGAGTGCCCTGGTGTGGTGGTTTGACACCTGGGAAGCCCAGGGACAGCTCAGAGCAGCAGGAGCAGCCTGGTGTCCCCCTCCTAGTGAGTGTCTGGGGATTGGAATGCTCTGGCCTCGGAAGCACCGGCTCAGGACAGGTGCAGTGACAATATCCAAGCCCAGGGAATGTGCCCACCCTGCTGGAGACCCTTCGTGTGCCACAGTGTGGAGGGCACCATGGGAATGCTTAAACTTTTGTATTAGAAGATGGACTTGGAGGAGGTTTTGTTTATTTTCTCTACTGCTAGAAAAGTGGCTTCGGTTTTCTTGCCAGATCTTTTGGAGTTGGCCTGTGGTGTGAGCCTGAGCCATTGCTGCGGTGCCTCTGTGCACCTTCCTGGGTGTAAGAGCCATAATGAGGGATGCAGGGCTCCAGAGGCTCTCCAAAATGCAGTTTATTGTATCCAAAATGCAGTTTTTTCCATCCTAGATGTCACAGCAGTCAAAGGTTGTGGGTGACAGAGCTGTCCCCACAGCTGTCAGCTCCAGCTGCAGGCAGGCCTGGAGGCCCTTTGGTTTGGTTACAATGCATTATATACTTTTCTTTTGGTTACAATGCATTATGTACTTTTCTTTTGGTTCCAATGCATTCTATACTTTTCTTTGCTGAGCATCTTCATACAGCAGAACCAATCTATACCTTAACTTTTACCTATAGCCTATCATAACTACTGTAATTACCATATTCATGTTACTGTTCTCCAATCACTAAAAGTACATTACAGTTTAAGCTAGAAGTTGTTTTTCAGTTTTCTTGCAGTGGAAAATTCTGAGACATTTTTTCTACTTGCCACATTTGCTGACTTGTTTGCCTGTGCTATCTTTCTGCTAGGTAGAAACATCTTCTTGTTTGGGGTGGGTTTATCCTTTGCTCTAAGCCATAAAACCCCTTCTAACTAACACACCCTGTGCCTCCTTGGTTAGCCAGTAAGACTGGCTTAGCAATTCTTTTCTTCTATATCAAAACTTGCTTCCATCTCTATTCCTTCATCAGACTCTACATTCAAAAATCTTTCTGCTAAGCATAGATATCTGTGAGACTTTCTTATCAAACTTTCATCCTTCCCAACGCCAGTCCTTGGAATCCTGTCTGTTTCTGTTCCTATTCCTGTTTCCCTGCCAGCTGTTGTGGAGACTTCCCTGATTCTGGGGGTGTTTTCAAGCCTCTGCTCCTGTCCCTGCCCAGCTCCCAGCCCCTCAACTGGCATTCACCTCCCTTGGGGAGCTCTCAGCTGCTTTCCCCTGTGTGTCTGATCATCCTTGGTGTATGCTTCCTCTCCTGGCTCCAGCAGCTCTGCTCCTGTTTGTCAGCTGGGCTGCAGAGGGACCAGGTGGTGACACTGGGAGATGCTGTCCTGGTGCTTCATGGGGCCACCTGGGCTTTGCTCTGTGCCCTGTTTCCCTTGGATTTCTCCCTTTGTCCTTGGGCAGTGAGGTTGGTCCTGCTGTGGAGGATCAGTGCTCCTGTCCCATCACATCCACTCTGGGGAGGTTCACCACGAGCCTGCTGTGACCCTGTGCTGTGCTCTGCTCCTGCTGCCACTCCAGGCTGATGTTCCTGTCACTTTTATCCAGATCCTTGCTATCAAAGGGTGCTCATCCTCTGCTTTCCTTACTGTGGATTCAGTGCCTGAGCACCTCTCCCTGTCTCCACAGCATTTGCAGAGCTCCCATCAATGAGCCAGGAATAGCAGCCAAACACCCACCTGCCAGGGAATCACGGGTTTCCTTCTTCCCTCACAGTGCTGAGGGGGAATGTGCTGCTCCCTGCTACACCAGAGCCTTCCCTGAGCTCTGTGCCTGGATTGTTTGGGGAATGTTCTCACTCCTCAAATCCCCTGGGTTGTTTGGAGAATGTTCTCACTCCTCAGATCCCCTGGATTGTTTGGAGAATGTTCTCACTCCTCAGATCCCCTGGATTGTTTGGAGAATGTTCTCACTCCTCAGATCCCCTGGATTGTTTGGAGAATGTTCTCACTCCTCAAATCCCCTGGGTTGTTTGGAGAATGTTCTCACTCCTCAAATCCCCTGGGTTGTTTGGAGAATGTTCTCACTCCTCAGATCCCCTGTATTGGTTGGAGAATGTTCTCACTCCTCAGATCCCCTGGATTGTTTGGAGAATGTTCTTACTCCCCCAACGCCCCCAGACCTGGCAGAGCAGCTGCAGCCAGGTTTTGCTGGTGCCCATCTCTCTGAAATCCAGAAACAGAAGATTGAGGGAGGGCAGATACAGGAGCAGCTCCCTGCTCTGCTGCTTCGGTGGGTTTTGGGAGCACCTGGAAAACCCTTGGCCAAACTTGGAGCATAAGGATGGGGCACAGCCCCTGTCCAGGACCTGCTTCTCTCTCTTTGTGTTTGCTTTGGGTGCTGCTGCCTTTTGGGGCCGATCACCTCCTTCCTGAGGGAGCAGTGGGATGATCAGAAATGCTGTGTTACCCCCACTGAGTGGATTTGGCTTAGTTTCCTGCTTTTAAGTACTCTGGAGTTACAGGAATGTTTTGCTGTAGCTGAGGTGCTGATCGTGGAGTTTTCTGCCCTCTGAAGACCTGGTGGTAGTTTTGGATAAAGTGTCACTTTCCTTGGTGTCTCTGTGAGCTTCCCTCAGGTGACACTGTTCACCCTGCCCCAGGCAGAGCTGGCAGAGCCCCCAGTGCAGGGTGGATCGATCCCAGTGAGCCTGGGAAGGGCAGGTTTGGTGTGTGGCACCTCCTGTGCCACCCCAGAATCAAAACTCCACAACTTTTGTGAAAGTTGTAAAGCTGGTATGTTTATTGTATGTATGTTTATTACAGTGCTGGACACATGAGGGAATCGTTCCCCTAAAATGACATGTGTACTTCTGGGAACTTCAGGTCCCTTTTTATCCCCCTCTCAGATACATATGCATACAATTTCACAATAGGTTCATACATATTCATTTTTACGAATTTCGTGTGACATTTGCTGCTAGTTCTTCTTTATCAGGAAGAATTCCTGGGTCAGGAATTCTGACTGCTCTCACGGCGGTCTCTGTCTCTATCACCCTCTGTCTCCCCCCCCCTTATCTCTGTCCTTCACTGAAGCAGTTTCTCTCAGCCTAGGCTTTGCAGTCAGGCTAAATAGCTCTGTTTTCTAACCACAGACTCAACTCAAAAATGTGCGTTTCACCTAAATCAAAATGGATTTCTACCCTAGAAAATTTCTGCTCTCCTTCACCAGCACCCGTCCCTGAACCAGATCTGGGTGACAGCGGCTGCTCAGGGCTGTGGGTGCCACTCCCACCACACTGTGCTCTGGGGGATGTGGTGGCCACGACCCCCAGCCTGGCTCTGGCAGGAGGTCCCTGCTCCCTGCTCCCTGTCCCTGCTCCCTGCTCCCTGTCCCTGCTCCCTCTCTCTGCTCCCTTGTCCCTGCTCCCTGTCTCTGGTCCATGCTCCCTGTCCCTGATCCCTGCTCCTTTGTCCCTGTCCCTGCTCCCTGTCCCTTGCCCCTGCTCCCTGTCCCTGTTCCCTGTCCCTGCTCCCTGTCCCCTGTCCCTGCTCCCTGTCCCTGCTCCTTTGTCCCTGTCCCTGCTCCTTTGTCCCTGTCCCTGCTCCCTGTCCCTGCTCCCTGTCCCTGTCCCTGCTCCTTTGTCCCTGTCCCTGCTCCCTGTCCCTGCTCCCTGTCCCTGTCCCTGCTCCCTGTCCCCTGTCCCTGCTCCCTGCTCCCTGTCCCTGCTCCCTGTCCCTGCTCCCTGTCCCTGTTCCCTGTCCCTGTCCCTGTCCCCTGTCCCTGTCCCTGCTCCCTGTCCCCTGTCTCTACTCCCTTGTCCCTGCTCCCTGTCCCTGCTCCCTGCTCCCTCTCCCTGCTCCCTTCTCCCTGCTCCCTGTCCCTGCTCCCTGTCCCTGCTCCCTGTCCCTGTCCCTGTCCCTGCTCCCTGTCCCCTGTCCCTGTCCGTGCCCGCGGCGCTGCCGGGCTCCGCGGCCGGGGGTAGCCATGGAAACGCTGTTCTTTCTCCCCATCCCTCCCCGTGCAGATGACTCGGGTGACGAGGAGCCCGCCTCGCAGTCAGACAAGAGCGAGCTGCACGGCCCCCTGAAGACGCTGTCGAGTAAGCTGGAGGACCTGAGCACCTGCAACGAGCTGATCGCCAAGCACGGCGCGGCCCTGCAGCGCTCGCTCAGCGAGCTGGAGAACCTGCGCCTGCCGGCCGACAGCGGCGAGAAGATCAAGGCGGTGAACGAGCGCGCCACGCTCTTCCGCATCACCTCCAATGCTATGATCAACGTGAGTGCTGCTGCTCTACCCCTCCTCCTCCTCCTCCTCCTCCTCCTCCATCCTCCTGCCCTCCCTGTTTGCTCCCCGTGCTTTGGCTCGTGTTACCGCGGTGAGGGCATGGGAAGTTGGGAAGATGCAGCTGGGAAGAGGGCACGGGTGTGGACCCCGCTGAGACACAGGTATGCTGCATCCTTCCAGCCTGCCCCGTGGAACATTGCTGGAAAGCTGGGGGTGTTGGCAATGCTGAGGGGCTTTCTCCTGCTCCCTGGGTGGAATCCTGCCTGGCACAGCACTCCAGAGCCCACCGCCCGCTGCAGCTTGAGACCCACATCCCACATCCCTCACATCCTCTTTGCTTCCATGAAGCTGCTGGAGTCCCACATGGCTGTGGGATTTCACCCCCTCAGGGTCTCTGTGGGATTTAAGCCCTCGTGGTCTCTGTGGGATTTGACCCTCCTTGAGGGGTCTCTGTGGGATTTAACCCCTCGGGTCTCTGTGGGATATGACCCCCTTGGGGTCTCTGTGGGATTTAACCCCTCAGGATCTCTGTGGGATTTAACCCCTTGGGGTTTCTGTGGGATTTAACCTGTCAGGGTCTCTGTGGGATTTAACCCCTTGGGGTTTCTGTGGGATTTAACCCGTTGGGGTCTCTGTGGGATTTAACCCCTTGGGGTGTGTGTGGGATTTAACCCCTTGGGGTCTCTGTGGGATTTAACCCCTCTGGGTCTCTGTGGTATTTAACCTCTTGGGGTCTCTATGGGATTTAACCCCCTCGGGGTCTCAGTGGGGTTTAACCCCTCGGGGTCTCTGTGGGATTGAATCCCTCAGTGTCTCAGTGGGATTTAGCCCCTCGGGGTCTCATGCTGGCTCTGCTCTCCCAGCCGGGTTTCAGAGGTCAGGAAGTGCTGGCACCGCCCCTGCTCCTGCCTTTTGCAGCCTCACGGTGCTTTCGGTGCTTTTTGGAGGCAGCTCGTGTTTGGAGAATGGCTCTGCCTCCATGGCAGTGAGACAGCCCTTCCTGGGGAGCCTGGTTTACCCCAGGGAGCTGTGAGACGGAGCAAAACTGAATAAAATATTTAAAGAAAATTAAAATAAAGCAGTCCCAAAGCTTCACCGGGCTGGAATAATGGATGAAGGCAGAGCTCAGGGGATTGTGAATGGAGCAGTGCTGTCGCTGTGCTGTCCCAGCCCTGAGCAGAAAGAGGTTGGGTGGTGTTTGATGTGGGCTTTAAAGAATAACAGTAATTCCCAGCAGGAGCTGGAGGGTACTCAGAACCCCATGGTCGCAGCATCCTCCCCATTCCCAGTGCTAGGATTCTGTAGCCACAGGGAGAAGGGGCTTCCTGAGTTCTCTTTTGTGTTTCTGAGCAGTTTGGGGAGGTTTGTGCAGCACTTTCCCCACGGAGAGTTTGTCCAAGTTTTGGGAATGGGGCTGGCAGCGTGGTGGGAGGTGCCAGCAGACCCTTGGTGCTGCCCAGGTTTGCTGTCAGGAGGCAGAACAGCAATGGGAGGTGGGCAGGGAATTGCCAGAGAGAGGATTCTCCAGCAGCCTTTGGGAAGGAATGAGCAGAGCAGTATTTGCTGTGTCCAGCCCAGAGAGGAGGAGGAGGAAGAGGAGGAGGAGGAGGTTGTGGTGTTTGCAACGTGATAAAAGCTTGAGCAAGGCTGTCTGGAGGGTGGGAAATTCCACACAAACCATTGTGCTGGGATAAAACAGCAGGAGCAGAGCTCATCCAAAATCCCAAGCAGGTAAGAGGGGCTTGGGGGTGGCAGGGCACATTCCCACAGCATCCTTTGGTGCTTCAGCTCTGGATGGGCATCCTGGGGGGATGCCCCAGGGACAGGCTGTGCCCTGGGAGGGACAGGGCTGGAGGGATCAGGGTGGGTGTGACAGTGGTCACAGGGGTTTTCAGGATGAGGGAAGAGATGAGGATTTGACTCCATATTTCAGAAGGCTTGATTTATTATTTTATGATATATATATATTACATTATAACTATACTAATAGAGTAAAAAGAAAAGTTTCATCTCAGAAGGCTAGCTCAGCTAAGAATAGAAAGAAAAAGAAAAGAATGAAAACAAAGGTCTGTAGCTCAGACAGAGAGAGAGAGCCAGCTCTGCCGTGAGTGGTCACTAATTTCAAACATCCACATGAGACCAATCACAGATCTATCTGTTGCATCCCACAGCAGCAGATAACCATTGTTTACATTTTGTTTCTGAAGCCTCAGCCTCTTAGAAGAGAAAAAATCCTAAGGATTTTCACAAAAAGATGTCTGTGACAGGTGGGAGCAGGGGCAGCTCCAGGAGGAGGCTGTGGCTCTCCAGAGCCTGCTGATAGGAGTGTTTTGGGAGGAGGTGACAGAGCTGTGGGCAGGGGGACACTTTGAGGGGCTGGCTTGGAAAGGTCAGAGAGGGACAAGCAGTGAGGAGGGGACCAGGAGGGAGGGGACCAGCCTGACCCCCGTCACAGGCACTGGTGGCTCCCAGGCACAGTGTCACCTTTCCCAGCATGGATCCCTTTCTGTGCCTTGATTTCTCCTTTCGGATGGGCTGATGCCTTCTGGAGCTGCCAGCAGCCTCTCATGGGGGGATGGGGGGAACTCTGTGCAGTGTAAAGGTCCCAAAATGTTCTGTATAGAACATGAAACATCGCTCTGGGGAAACATGGGGAGCTTCCTGGTGAAACTACACCATGCTCATCCCACCTCAATCCCCGAGCACATCTCCCATGGCAGCCCAAGGTGCTTTTGCCAGGCCAGGAGCTCCCTGCAGGAGAAGTTGAAGTGTCCTTCCCTGCCAGGCTTTCCCTGGAGAGATCCCAGCCTCAGCACTGGGCTGGTGCTGGCACGTGGATGCTCTGTGTCCAGAGCAGCAGCACCAAACCCCATGGATCTGCTCTGGATCTGTGAGCTTTGGTGCTGTGGCTGTGAGCACAAGGGGTGTGAGCTCCTGGGGAGAAGGGAAGGGTGCTCTGGGGAGGGATGGATCCCCCAGTGAAGGAATGGGTGCAGTAGGGAAGGGATAGATCCCCCGGTGAAGGAATGGGTGCTCCTGGGGAGAAGGGGGGATGCTCCAGGGAGGGGTTGGGTGTTCCAGGGAAGAAGGGATGGGTGCTCTGGGGAAGAGATGGATGCTCCAGGGAAGGAATGGGTGCAGTAGGGAAGGGACAGGTTCTCCTGGGAAGGGGGAATGGGTGCTCTGGGGAGGAGATGGATCCCCCAGTGAAGGAATGGGTGCTCCTGGGAAGAAGGGATAGGTGCTCTGGGGAAGGGATGGATGCTCCAGGAAAAGAATGAGTGCTCCAAGGAAGGAAGGGGTGCTCCAGGAAAAAGAAGGATGCTCAGGGAAGGCTGGCCATTAATCTGGGAAGGGCTGGATGCTTCTGTGAAGGAATGGGTGCTCCAGGGAAGGGAAAGGTGACCCAGGGAAGAAGGGATAGGTGCTCTTGGGAAGGGATGGATGCTCCAGGGAAGGAATGGGTGCTCCGGGGACGGAATGGGTGCAGTAGGGAAGGGATGGGTTCTCCTGGGAAGAGCAGATGGGTGCTCTGGGAAGGAATGGATGCTCCAGGGAAGGAAGGAATGGATGCTTCTGGGAAGGAAGGGGTGCTCCAGGAAAAAGAAGGGTGCTCCAGGGAAGAAGGGCTGGGCATTAATCTGGGAAGGGCTGGGTGCTCTTGTGAAGGGATGGGTACTCTGGGGAAGGGATAAATGCTCCTGGGAAGAAGGGATAGATGCTCTGGGGAAGGGATGGGTGCTCCAGGGAAGGAATGGGTGCTGCATGGAAGGAATGGGTGCTGCAGGGAAGGAATGGGTGCTGCAGGGAGGGGAAGGTGCTCCTGGGAAGAAGGGAGAGATGCTCCAGGGAAGCAATGGGTGCTGCAGGGAAGGGATGGGTGCCCCAGGGCAGGAATGGGTGCTGCAGGGAGGGAATGGGTGCTGCAGGGCAGGAATGGGTGCTGCAGGGCAGGAATGGGTGCTCCAGGGCAGGAATGGGTGCTGCAGGGAGGGAATGGGTGCTGCAGGGCAGGAATGGGTGCTGCAGGGCAGGAATGGGTGCTGCAGGGAGGGAATGGGTGCTCCAGGGAGGGAATGGGTGCTGCAGGGCAGGAATGGGTGCTCCAGGGCAGGAATGGGTGCTGCAGGGAGGGAATGGGTGCTGCAGGGCAGGAATGGGTGCTGCAGGGCAGGAATGAGTGCTGCAGGGAGGGAATGGGTGCTGCAGGGAGGGAATGGGTGCTGCAGGGCAGGAATGGGTGCTGCAGGGAGGGAATGGGTGCTCCAGGGAGGGAATGGGTGCTGCAGGGAGGGAATGGGTGCTCCAGGGAGGGAATGGGTGCTCCAGGGCAGGAATGGGTGCTGCAGGGCAGGAATGGGTGCTCCAGGGCAGGAATGGGTGCTGCAGGGAGGGAATGGGTGCTCCAGGGCAGGAATGGGTGCTGCAGGAGGGGCAGGTGCTCCTGGGAAGAAGGGCTGGCAGCTCGGGCCGGCGCGTGCGGTTCCTGTGCAGCTGCCTCTGATCCGATTATGTAAATGGCCCCGGAGCCGCGGGGAGCGCAGCGAGCACGGGAAATAAATAAATAGAGATGGAAATGCAAGAGCTTTGCTGGGAAGGTGACCTTCCCTCTGTGCTCTGGGTGCTGCCACAGCCAGCACCGGGTGCTCCTCTCCAGAGGCTGGGAGCATCACCTGGCCAGGTGGGGCTGGCAGTGATGGGGAAGGGTTTGGGCAGAGGCACAGTGGGCTGTGCTGGGCTGCTGTGGTACAGGTGAGGATTTCAGACGTGCTGGGTTTCAGTCTGGCTGTTGCAGGGCTTCAACTGAAGCCCAGAGCTCTGTGAGGCTCCTGTTGGTTCTGCTCCCTGCTGGAATCCCACCAGGCAGAGTCCAGGGATGCAGGAGCCCGGTGTCAGCAGGGCTGGGCAGCAGGCACAGAGAGCCAGGGCACAATCTGCACAATCTGCCACGGGGGAGGAGTGGGAGGTGTGTGAAAATAAGAAGCAACAAA